CCAAAACCCGTGTCCCCTGCATCGGCAGGCGGACTCTCAACCACTGCGCCACCAGGGAAGCCCTCATCATATAAATTTTTTAATGCTGGAGAATGAGCAAATTCTTTGGAGTTTACCAAGCTGTAGTAGATACTTCCCTTCTGTTATTTATTTATCCCGGTAAAGTAACTCTGACTGGGTATTGTTCTTTAACAGCCATTAGAGAGGGCCTTCCCAGTAGCTTTTCTACAATATGACTGAATGTACTCACTTGAAATCAGTGTTTTGAAGGCTATCTGGTAGAATCCTCTGGACCGGCATTGCTGCAGAGTCTTCTGGACTTAGCCATGTACATCTGTTCCCGGTCACTGTTCACCTACCCCCACCCCTGCCCCGAAAGTGTCCTGTCTGTTGCTGGGGATATAAGCCCTAATGTAAAGTCGATGAGTGCTTTGAAGTTCCATTTGCCCTTCAGAATCAAAATTTCCCTAATTACAGGTTATAACCCTATTTTGGCTTTACCTTTGTAAAGTACAGACTCAGTTTCCTTTTTACTTCTCCCACCGGCTGCTTTGATCTTTTCTTCAGCAGCTTTGCATGTAGGTATTGGATGCGCTCCCTCTGCACACTTGGGTAGAAGGATGCTGACACCAGGATTTTAAGTTGCATCAGGATGGAGGACAACAGTCCTAGCATCACTAGTATCACAAGAATAAAACTGAGAGGAATCCAGGTCTTAGACAGAAGCAGCTTTGGTTTAGGGAGGCAACTGGGTTCAAACAGAGATATATTAAATGAAGAATCATGGATGATGTCTTGAGCTCCTTGTTTCTAAAATGAAAGAATAAAATCATCAAGATCCATGCCATTTCCATACTCTGTCCTTGTCTTTCTCAATACTGCCCTGTAGCACGTAACATTTATCTTAAAATATGCAGGGAGCTTTGGCTGAAGGGGCTATCCCAGCTCCTTTTATGTGCTATGACTGGAATAAAGGAGAAGGGATGAATTTTAGTTGTAGCCATTGCAGAGTTTTCCAAAGTGGGATTGTGGAAATATAGATTTCCTTGAGAGAAGGATATCAGATAAGTTTGTTTGCTCTGTCCTTTCTTTAGAGAGTCACGATGGCCATGAGACTGTTGAGGGTGCTTAGAAGAAAGCAGAGAAATTCGCTTAAATTCAGCCAACGATTCTCCTATTAATTTTGACCGCATAACTTATTTTTATGGAACACCCGTTTCTACACTTCAGAGCATGTGGGACTAATGAAAGATGGTTTTTGCTCAACTGGGGGAGAAGTTTTTTTTGTAGCAGAGCCCCTCAAGACCCAGTCATAGCCTCTCCATCTCGACAAACACCTCGTCAGCAGACCACAAGGTCATAAAGATGTGGAGGCATTAAATTATGTTCTAAGTCATCCTTCTAGAGCTTGAGGTGGCGGGGAGGGGGGTGTGTGTGTGTGGAATTATTCTTGATGCAAGAATACAAAGAAGAGTATATTTACTGAAAGTGTCTCTAAAATCCTATTTATAGAGGTCTGAAAATAGGACATTTTCTCATCTCTCTTAGATGATAGGAGGGGTGCATTCCTCCCTGCTTGAAGGCAAGAGAATAAGCCAGTTGCCCTCAACAAACTGACCCAGAGGGCAGATGACACTGAGCCACCCAGCCAAGCCACCAGCAGGAGACGTGTGTGCTGATTCAGCTCTTACTTTTCCCTGACCTGAGAAAGCCATATAGTCTCTTGGTGGATTTGTTTTCCAATTTGGTAAAACAGAAATTAATGGACCAGATCCTGCCCATGAATAAACTACTCCCAGTGTAAATTAAGCACCTTGGGGATGGAGCATTAACGTTACAGACTGGAGTACTTAGTAAGTTATTATCACCTCAACACCCTAGAGCCCTGGGGCCCAGAGGAGGAAAATGACTTCTGAAAAGAACCCAATCACACCCAGAGAACACCGCACACCTTCGATTTACCCCAATACCTGTGAAAAATCTGGAAACCCCAAAACCTGGGACTTCTACACAAATGTCAAGTCAGATCTGCAATTTCCCCAGCACTGTGGCTAAGCAGTAGAAAGCATTTGTGTTGCCTCTCCTTTCCTCTTATTAAAAAGACAGTTCACCTACGATTAAATAGAGAGATTTCAGTCCCCAGAGCAGAGGCATGCATTCTTTTCAATACTGTTGAAGAAACAAACACATCGATTGAGTAAGTGATGAGAAATCCTGCAATAAGAAAGCAGCGGGTGTCCGGTCTGGGAAGAAGTAATTTAGTCTAGGAATCTAACCGGAGATTTTGCAGCTGGGAGTCAGGGCTTCAGAAAGGTTGTCAACACTTTTGTACGGGCTTGGTGGAGGGTAACAAACTCTCAAAATACCGAGCAATGTACTAAATGGTACCCCAATTTTAAAATGTGTTTGCCTCTCTCAAGTAAACAATTTGCCAAGATGGTATTGAGTAATGGATGGATGATTCACTCTGGTATCAGACAGTCCTGAAAATTTAATGCAGACCAGTGCTGGGCACATAGTAGGTGCCCAATAAGTAGCGACTGTAGCTTTTTTTTTTTTGGCTGTACGCGGGCCTCTCACTGTTGTGGCCTCTCCCGTTGCGGAGCACAGGCTCCGGATGCGCAGGCTCAGTGGCCACGGCTCACGGGCCTAGCCGCTTCGTGGCATGTGGGATCCTCCCAGACCAGGGCACGAACCCGTGTCCCCTGCATCGGCAGGCGGACTCTCAACCACTGTGCCACCAGAGAAGCCCGACTGTAGCTTTTTTTACTTACAGTGTCCACCTATCCAGCCAGGTCTATTCACGTCATTTCCCACTTTTCTTTATTTAAAATTGTATAAAAGTGGGAGAAACCTTGAGCCAATGTTTCTTTTCTTGCTTGACTTCTCCTTTGCAAATCTGCTGCAATGGAGAGACCAGGAACCTCCAAGGTCATCGTGGGATAAGGGCAGGGCACTGCCAGTTACGTGGAAGCCAGCTGCTGGTGGCACAGCCTCCCAGGCTTGGCAGGAGAGAGTTTGAGACGAGCTCCCACAGCAGTCTTGTGCTCGCATCTGTTCTGCGCCCACCACCCTGCTGTCATTGTGAGTGTACGTGGTGGCCTCCTCCACCAGGACGTGAGCCCCTCAATGGCAGCCATCATGGTCTAGACAACTTTGCATCCCCAGGACCCAGCAACACCCCAAAACGTATTTGCCAGGACATTGTCATTGGAAAGCTCCTGGGCCTTTTTTGGAAGGTAGACTTGCTTTTCTTCCCCCGTCTATCTAAAACAGTGAGAATTCACAAAACAGGCATGGGTTTCGGCTCAGAGAGAAATAGAAGAGAGAGGAGCAAAAAGATGGAGAGGGAAGAACTGAGAGGGGAAGATCATAAAAGGGACTACAGGAGGGGGATGGACTATGGGGGAGCGGAGGAGAGAAGCCCTTCTACTAGCCGCCGCCCTGGATCAAGCCTGGCTGAAAATCGTTTGGCTTTCATTTGAAACACTGCTTCCATTATCCACCCTGCTCCAGATATGTAGAGCAACAGGGTTCTTGTAATTAACTGAAGACATCAGAGGAAACAGAGGGCTCAGAGTAATCAACTCGGAGAAGCAGCCCAGGATTAGGCGGGGCAGGGACCAGACAGTGCCTGCTGAGCCAGGAGAAAAGGGGAGGAAGAGTGTGGATGCAACAGGAGGAAATGGGCTTTCAAAGGAGGGTTTCCAGGTCCCTTTCTGCCCTTCCCCGCTGAGATTTCCCCAGCAGAGGCACAATCTATTGTAGCTCGATAAAGAGGAGGGAAACTCAGACATATGGAAACAGTAGATGGCGTGTTCACCAGCCCAGGCTAGTGCACACCACCCAGCATGCCTGACATTCTCACACACGCACACACACACGCACACGTGCACATGTACACACATACAACTACACACATTACGTGTGCACATGCACACGGAGGCACACACATGTGCACGTTCCACGTAGCGCAGAACGCTAGGTTTAAAAACAAATAAGACAAGTATCTGACAGTATCCAGATCCTCTGAAATGTCTACATAATCATCAATTTCCACAGGGAAAAATGGAAAAGAGAAAGGATGGCATGAACAAAAAGCATGGTCTCCTCTGTTGCAGTACGGCTGCCACAGGAAACTAATACAGTGATCAAAAATGTTCAGAATGTTCTCATACTCTAACATTGGGGTTTCAACTCAATCTAACCAACATTTTGGGTGTTCTTCCTACATGCCAGGCTCCGTGCCAGGCACTGAGGATCCAGGGGGGAATAAGACACTGCCCTGCCTTGGGAAGTTCACGATCTTTTGCAAACACACAGCAAACAGCTGAGATACACAGTGAGACGGGCCTGTGAGCACCTACCTCTCTGTGCAGCTTCAAGTGAACCTCAAGCCCTGGCAAGCTTTGGAAATGTTTGCTGATGGAGAAAATGAGCCAATATAGCAGATAATCAATGGCTGCAAACAACACCCAGATGTAGAGATGGGTAAGTACCGGGAGGAAAAACAGCCCCAGGTTTTTCCTGTCTTTAGGAGTCAGCCAGAAAGATGGGATGACGACATACTTCTTCCTTTCCTGCTTATTCAGCGGGAGGACGCAGGGCCTCTGTTCATGCCTCTCCCTCTCATCAAACTGAACAAATTGTCTGGTGATGTAGATGTTCTCAAACTTCCAACCACAGGAGCCCAAAAATCGCCTCATGAAGAGGCCAGTGCCAAGTAGCACCAGCAGAAGCCCTGCGAGGGCAAATAGCTGCCGCCCCAGGGAAGACAACACCTCTGTCGCTGTCACCACCTGGTACAAGACACGCAGGGCTTTGTATGTAGTGTCATTGAGCTGTGCCTCCAGGGCTTGGCTGGGACTAAAAAGAGAGACCTCCAGTGTTTGGTTCCAAGAAACAAGGTCATCAAATAGACTTAGATGAGTGGCAAGGCCGTATATCCACTGAATTGCTTCAATATATTTTTTCAAAAGTGGAAAATGGATGGAAAAGCTCTTTGCCCTTAGGTTGCAAGTCATACTGTCCAGGAGACCTTTAAAGTTGTGAAAAATATTTTCCACGTGTCCAAAGATGACTATCCCTGTGCCGGCGGTGATCAAAGCGTTCCTGCCTTCACGCAGGCCACACGAGAGGAGGAAGAGCAGAATGAAACACCGTGCGTGCTTGGAGCAGCACAGCAGAGCACACGTGACCATCCAGGAGGTGGTGAAGACTATGAACGAGGACAGAAACCAGTAGAAGGCCCCAGAGAGGAGGCCAACAGAAATGAAAGCAACGAAACAACAAGTGCCCAAATGTTGGGTGAAGTCCATCCATCCAAGGCTCCTTGGAGACACATACGTCCTCCAAAGACTGAGGAAGATATTGGTGCCTGAGGTCCAGACACCCATGCTCCCTGTGTCCCTGGAAATGAAAGAGAAACAGGGTCAGATGTTGCTTTTAAATGTCCTCTTTGTAAAGGGCACGATGATAGATTGATTGCAAAAAATGGCCGTAATTTTTTACCCTTCTCAGTCTCTACACTATTACTAAACCAAACTTGGGCCTGCTCGCTGCTAATCCACTGACACTGGATTGTGGTGAAGGGAAGTGCAGCATTTATTGCAAGGTGCCCAGTGCAGGACCAAGCAAGGAGAATGGGCCGCTTGTGTTCAAAAGACCCAAACTTGATATAAATGAGTTTATTTACAAAACAGAAGTAGATTCACAGACATAGAAAACAAACTTACGGTTACCAGAGGGGATAATGGGACGGGGAGGTGCGGAGGAGCTAAATTAAAACTTTGGGATTAACTGCTATGTATAAAATAGGTAAACAACAAGGACCTACTGTACAGCACAGCGAACTATATTCAGTGTCTTGTAATAACCTATAATGGAAAAGAATCTGAAAAAGAATATATATACAAATGTTTATGCATAACTGAATCACTTTGCTGTACGCCTGAAGCTAACACAGCACTGTAAATTAACTAGACTTCAATTAAAAAAACACGGTTTAAAAAAAAGATACCTGGGCTTCCCTGGTGGCCCAGTGGTTGAGAGTCCGCCTGCCGACGCAGGGGACGCGGGTTCGTGCCCCGGTCCGGGAGGATCCCACATGCCGCGGAGCCACTGGGCCCGTGAGCCATGGCCGCTGAGCCTGTGCTCCGCAACGGGGGAGGCCCCGACAGTGAGAGACCCGCGTACGGCAAAAAAAAAAAAAAGAGACTTGAACTCCGCAGTGGCTTTCGGGGAAGGGTTGTTAAAGGCAAGGTGAGGGAGAGGGTTGCAGGGTGCCTGATCAGCTTGGTACATCCTTCTAATTGTGGGTGGTGAGGTAACAGCATGATGTTTCGGGAATTATCATCAACCTCTGGTTCCAGCCCCTCTGGGGTCTACATGCTTATCGTCACGTGCAGTTAACTTCTTCCACCTGGTGGGGGGTTTTAATGTCTGCAGAACACCTCAAGGATATGGTTCAGGTTATTATCTACAGCCTTGAGGAGGCACTAAAAGTCCTTGACTTTGTGTTATGGCTAAACTCTTATTATTTTGTCTTACTTGACTGTCTTCCTTTGTTTCTGCATTTTCTCACTTTTCTCATTAAATTTGCTCTTTGGACTTGGGGGGAGGCCTACGAGGTTAAAGCTTTTCTACAAACAAGAGGTGGGGGACACAGGGTCTGTCCCTGGGGAGGCCCCGCAGGGTCCTGCTCAGTTTCTACACCTCCTTGCAAAGTGACATTACAGCTTCTCCCATCAAGAGGTGAGAGAAATAGAATCACATGGTGGGGTTTATTTCTCCAGCCCTTGAATTTGGGATGGCCTTGTGACACCATCGGCCAATGGAATGTGGCAGAAGTAATGGTATGCCTATCCCGAGTCTATGGTTCCCTCCTGCCTCTCTTGGAACCCTACTACTAACTTGTTGACAAGTCCAGGTGTTTTAGCTTCTATTGCTGCTGCAGCAAATTTCCACAGACTTAGTGACTTATAGAAACACATATTTATTCTCTCACAATTCTAGGGGTCAGAAGCCTAAAACTGGTCCGGAGGGCTGCAGAGGGCTGGAGCTTCTCGGGGAAAATCCACTTGCTTGCCTTTTCCAGCTTCTGAAGGCGCCTATATTCCTTGGCTTGTGGACTCTTCTCCATCTCAAAGAGAGCAATGTTGCATCTTCTTTTCTTTCTGACCTCTGCTTCCATCCTCATGTCTTCTCTTACGACTCTGATCCTCCTGCCTCCCTCTTCAAAGGACCCCTGTGACTATACTGGGACCACCCAAGTAACCCAGGATAATCTCTCCATCTCAAGGTCCTTCACTCAAGCACATATGTAGAGTTCCTTTTACCATGAAAGGTAACATAGTCATACGTTCTGGGCATTAGGACATGGACATCTTTGGTTGGGGCTATGGGGGTGGGGTCATTCATCCTGTCATACCAGGTTGGGCTGCTGAATGACAAGAGGAACATGACCAGTCTATTCCACCAACTCAGCCAATAGCCAGTCAACTGCCAGATATGTGAAATAGGGCATCCTAGACCAGCAAGTCCCCAGCCACTAGCTGACCACAGATACTTGAGCAATAAGAAATGCTTATTTACTTTGAGCCCCTGAATTATGTGCTGCTTTTTTGCACAGTGATGGTTAACTGATAAAAGCAGCAATCCTGTGCCATGGGTCTTATTAATTGAAACAGACCTTAGGTTGATGGACAGGCTGAAATTTCAACAAACTGCATTATATAAGATCACTTTCTGACAGTCATCTATTTTCTTGTGCTCTAAGTTTACAGACAAGAAAGCAAACCAAAGGCATCCAAACTTAAACGTGGCATTGGACTGAGGCCATTGTATTCAGCTCTGTAACCATTGTGCCTTCCCTCCTTTGCTCCTACCCTCTGAGTGCAGTTCTCTCCTGAGAATCTTACAAGGAAAATGAGAATAATCTGTCACCGAGTTAATCATCCTTTCTTTTTTTCCCAGGTCTAAAATGAAGGTGCTATGGGGCTGCTACTGCCCTGTGAGTCATGCAGATTTAGGTGTGTTATGCACTCAGAGAGCCTTGGGTTCATTCGGGATGATACAAAATAAATTTGAGCTATCTTAACTGACATGAAAATACCTAATGAGCATTATACCCTATGTATAGAATTTTAACGAAGACATTGATCAGTTTTTAAACACTCTCAAATAAATCCCTTCTCACATCAAATATTTTGGGGCTGGATTTATGGAGTAGCTTAATACTGTTTGAGCCAGTGAATTACACTGGTAATGTGAGAAAGGTATCCAGTCGCTGGCGGGAGGGCATGAACTGAGCAACCTGAGGGGAAGAAATGGCTCTTTTTGGGTTCGGGCAGAATGGGGTTAACGTAGGACAGAAATGAGATGGGGAAATAGGCAGGTTAGGAACAAACCTGTGGAAATGTCTTCAGCAATAATATAGAGGGCTTGCAGCTGCTGTACGTAATCTGAATGGGAAAGTTCAGTGCAGAGAAGAGATATGGGGAGACGTCGTGTTGAAAAAGGGTCATTACCATGTGGGACTGGCCTTATAGAAGATTCAAGATCCTCCCTAAGAAGGTAGTTTTACTCCATCCGGAGGAAAGGAAATTGGAAGAGATGGACATTAGAATGGGGACCAGCAAAAGAACAGAGTTCTTTTTTCCTGCAAGCTTGCTTCCTTTCAGAACTGGAGGTTGATTTGGAGGTTGACAGTACTCCTGTGCACCAACTGCACTCCTATGCCTCTCTGAGCCCCAGAAATCACTGATAGCCCCCGTGCTCCTGAACTGCCCCCAGCCTTGCCAGTGCGAGTCAGCCCTGCTTCCTTGCCTGGGTCGGAGGACTTGATCAGTCAGCAGAGAGCAGGCGGCCACTGGGCAGGACAGCCAGCACCACAGCAAATTGGGAGGTGCTGCCTCTCCTCCTAGGTGTGTCCCCATTTGCTTTCTTCGGTATGGCTTTGGATTTGACCCCAAACCATTATCTGAGTAATTGGTACACTAGTAGGTAATAATTGTCTATTATGTCCTAGGAGCTCTTTATATATAGCATCTCTCTGCATCCTCCCTAAAGCCTCTGGAGGTTGCTTTTCACACAGTGGACACTGAGGCTCAGGGTGCTTGCTGAAATGTGTCAGCGATCACACAGGGAGTAGGTGGCATAGCAGAATTCAGACCAGGCCTCCCTGCCCCCTGAGCCATGCCCAGATTCCACGGCTCTGGGTTATGTGACAGGATGCTCAACCCACTGTATCTGCTGGAAACACATCACACTTTCTGCCAGTGACTGTTTAAGAGCTGATTTGTATATCACAAACCCATTTCTATCTGCTCATTTCTTTTTGCATCAAAATAGTTTACCCTGTAAGAATGTTTCTCAAATCAGCAGATTTTTCTCTACAGCAAATCAAAAATCCCACCTCTTCTATTTTTTTCTAATATCCTTTATGAGGTACCATGTTGCTTGCTTTCTAAAAAATTAATAATGCATATTTTAGATTCATTTTTCCCTCCTTTTGCCTTCATCCTTGTACAGTGTGTTCTTTATAAAGAGATTTCTCTGCAAGTGAGAAACAGATTTATGGATACATTAAAATTTTAGCCTTCAGCAATAAAATCTAATAACAATTAAATAAGATATATTACTGCAATTTTGTCTTGTAAGAGGCACATGTTTTCTTAACAAGCAAAAGATCTAATATTATTCCCCTTTATTTTTGTGCTGAAAACAGCATGTCACCAAAAGACATCAAAACTTTCTGCAGCAAGAGGACCAAATGCCTTCTCTCCTATTTCATAGCTCAAGCCACTGAGGCAAGTTTGGACCACAAGCTCAGCGCTGGTGTTCCAGTCTGTTGAATGTGGCCTTGATTTCCTGTCACTGTTGAATGTGGCCTTGATTTCTTCACCAATCTCTGTTCCTCATTTTCCCTACTTGAATAAAAGACCTGCCTGAGCTCCTTCCTGGTGAGGTTTAAGGAGGGAAGCTTTGGCAAGCACGTTAAGATGCCCTGGAGATAAGGTGCCTAGGAAATGCAACCCATTTCTTCTTGTTTCTTTGCTGCCACAGCAAACTGAGAATGTCCCTTCTCTGAAGCTCTTTAGGCAAGGCTTCAGTGTCCCAACGATGAGAGGCTCAGAGGCAGGAGGTGGATTGCACCGCCTTCCCAGCACTAATGTTTGACACGTTGCCTTTAGATGTCTGTTGATTTCTGTCCTCTTGCTCCTGCAGAGGTGCAGTCATTCTGCTGAAATTTCTTTCTTCAGATGGCCCCAGTTCTTTCCTTTTAGAAAAATCAGGGAATCAGGTTTGGACAAGCTGGTTACTTATTCCTTTCTCAAAGACTTTTTCAGGCAGATACCCAGATTCTTAAATTTTACTTTTAGAGCTGGAAGAAATATTATAG